TTTACTTGCAGTTCCCGTCTCAGCTTAGGCCCCAGATGCCACAACAACGCCAATAAAGAGACACGATATCTTTTCAGCTGTACATCAATCCTACATATAATAATTTGAACTTTCAAAAGGCGCGCTGATTGTGAGAAATAAAATGTTGACAATGTCTTTTAGGCGCAAAATTATGAAGTACACAGACGAAAGAGTCAAAATAATGAACGAAGTTATATCTGGAATGAAAGTTATCAAATTGTACACATGGGAAGACTCCTTTGCAGAACTTATTGGCAATTTAAGACGGTCAGTGGTTTAGCTTCAGAACTATTTATGAAATCTGAATGCTAAATCTTCACATTAGGGATAACATAAAAGCAGGGGGCGGACACTTGATCAAATATTGGGGGGGCAAGCCTATTGTTTTAATAAGACGACGTCACCTTTCCCATTGTTTTAGAACAAGACCATTGTCCTCTAAAGTATTGGGGGGCGGTCGCCCCCCCTCGCCCTCCCCCCAAGTGTCCGCCACTGCATGAAAGTCTCTTAGGTTGCTTATCAATGAAAATTATCAGATTTGAAAGCATAGTTTTATTTACGTTCTTGCTATGTTTAGTTTCCCTATAATAAATATGACTTTGTTTAAATTTTTTTACTTTTGTAGGTATTTACTATTTCTAAATTCTGTGTTTGCTTGACAGTGATCCCCAAAACTCTAAAATTGTAACCGTACTGCAACTGTTGCTGTTACCATAGATCTATACACTGACCCTGAAGTATTGTGTTTGATTTATTTGTAGTTTGTAAGATTTTGGTTTGTCTTTCTTTAACCTACCAGTTTATTGGAGATTTTTCATTATCCTCTTTACTTTGCAGGAAAGAAATAAAAGCCATCTTGAATCTTTCCAATCTTCGTGCTGGCTTCATGTCATTCTTCTTTAGCTCCTCCGCCTTCATCAGCTTCTTCACATTCATGACGTATGCATTAACTGGACACTATCTCACGCCCCAGAAGGTATTCACCTGCATTGCCCTATTCAATTCGGCAAGGATGGTAATGACTCTCTACTTTCCAATTGGAATCACGCTGCTCAACGAAGCGCGGGTATCCGCAGAAAGAATGCAGGTGAATCACTTTGTATACAGTTAAATTCAACCAAGGAGATAATAGGTTTTGAAGACCGTTCTTGGTACCTATTTTAAAGATACATGTAAAATTATCAGGGCCGTTGTTTCTTAGATTGCATTCCAATTCAAAAGGCATGTTTTCGTGACGAAGTGAACAGGCGATGTCTTGCAAGAGCAGCAGCAATGCATGTAGAGATCGTAAGCCTACAACATTACAAATGTTGGTTTGCTATGAAACGATGTAGGAAATTAAGAACGTAAATAACGACTTTGGAAAGACTTTTGGATTATGTAATATTTGCCTAAATTGTCCAAAAGTATTTTATGTTCTCATATAATCTTTACAAGATATACACAGGATTATAAGACGATACAACAGGGAGCATGGAAATACAAAGTAACCCTGTGGAAATTTACAATCAACATATAAAGCTAAATTAACTACGATTAGAAATTGAGAAATTAACGAAAACGTGTTAAAAGAAACTATTTCTAGAAATAGGAGACAGTAAATATGCTGTTTGTATCACCAATTTATTCAAAACACTCAAGAGGCCCGGTTATATTTTAGCGTTGCAGTAAGAATTTTGATTCGATTGGGCATTCTTCATGGCCATAGAGGATGATTTTTATTTAATATAAAGTTGTTCTTAGAGGAAAGGGAACAGAAAGTTATAACATTTTAGGTAAAAAGCTTGAATGGGTTCTTCGATAGATGTTGTTTTATGAAAGACAGCATCTAGGCCCTTTAACGTTTAAGCTCTTTTTGCAAACATAGATGATACACATAGAATGGAAGTCAAATCCAACTTTTTTGGATATTAGCACTCATAGATACATCATGTTTGCGATCTTTTGTACGAAAGTTTGGTTAATGTTCATCTATCGCATCTATCTTGCAGAAACTGCTGTTCATGGAAGATTTGAAAAAGCCTGGCAGTTCCAATCTTAGGCCTAAACCAGCAGATTGTAGAGTTGATGTCGAAAATCTCACTGCATCTTGGACAGAGGTGAATAGCTTTTTCGAAAATATCATTGCTATTGAAAATTTCTGTGCTATAGTTCTTAATTCAATTCGATAGTTACTAAATCGAGTTTTTCTGATATATCGAAATGTATTTTACGGTGGGTTGTTTTCGCTTGAAACTCGTTGCCCAATACGAGGTATCATTTCAGTTGATTAACTTGATTTATTAGTAGTTGATGAACTTAATTTACCTTTTTGTTAGCTTCTCGTCATTCTGAAGTATATTTTTTCGATTTAAAATTCTTTTGGAAACTACAATACGGCTAGAATTTAAGAGCTGGGATAGATTTATCAATTATAATGGCTATTTTTATAACAAATGTTTGAGTGTCAGAATGTTGTAAAATGTTGTGTTGATTTTTAATGTTGATATGAAGTGCCCAGACATATTAATTTTTCAATTCAATTGAAGAACCTATTTCCCTCTCGCATTACAGGGCGCTACCACTTTGGAAGATATCAATATGAAAGTTGAAGCTGTAAGTGCTTTTTTCCTTTGAATTTTTTTTGGAAATATCGATTGAACAATATTGATATTAAGAGATATGACTGTAACATGCCCCTTTAATTAGTAATCTCTTGTAAATTATGATTTCATCAACTAATTAATCGATGACTTATTATTAATTCATGCAGAAATTGTTGATAGCTATTGAAAAGCTTGATTTCCAAGAACTTCCTGAACATCCAGGACCTTTTAGAATGTAACAGACCGTTTTCCCTCTGTATGAATTGGCATCTTACATGATATCACGCCCTTTTGACTAGTCGATTTAATATATATAGCAAAAGTCAACTTGCCAGGTATATCTTTTCCGATGCTCTTTGTATTTTATGGTTGCCACTAAACAGAGGTGGAAAAAGTATCGGAACCTGGGAACGTAGTTCCCAGAAATTTTTATGGATGGAAATATTAGCAGAAAGTTTCACAGAAAAGTTTTGAAGTGTTAAAGTAAATGTAAAAATCTGGTGACAAGAGTTAAGTCAAATCAGCATTTAATATTATTTCAACTTGCCTGTAAGCATCTAAATATGAGCTTTTTTGGCAGCTGAGCTTTTTAGACAAACCATTGTTTAGACTGAGATTAATATAGGGACTGGAATCTACTTTCACGGAAATTATTTCTTGTACTATGGTGGAGCAGCATTGATCATAAGTTAATATGCTTGGTTAAAGTAATTTGGTGCATATTAGGACTCCACTTCAACCATATATTTCTTCACACTTGTCAAAGAATAGGCTGTGTTAAGCCTTCTCCGTAAAATGCACCATACAATTCAAATGATTTTGCCCCTGATTCTTCTGAAACTATGTTTAGAAATTATTGCCTTCTGGTTTTGGTTTTTCCATCACGATGATTGACTAAATGCATAAATTTCTGGCTTAAGTTGATTTCCCTCTTATGTGCATTTATGCATCAAGTAAAGCCATATCTAATATGTTGAGTTAGGCCTACTCAGAGTCAGTTTCATATAAACGTCTTGAATTTCTTCAGCTAAATACAGTATTGTAGGCACAAACAGAAAGTTTGTTTGTCTACCCCTTGAAATCTTGCAGAAAGTTTTTAGCCAGATACTTAGGTTCCCAAAAAGAAAAAAGTTTTTTCCACCTCTGCCACTAAATTTCCCATCATTCTTAATGCTATTTTCTGTGATACGCTAAAGCCAAGGAGGATTGTGTGGTTGCAAAGGAGGAATTGGGCTATCATTGGACAAAAATTCTTAAAGGCAGCCAGGGGTCATATTGTTAACATGTTATGTTTGGTGTTTTTAATTGTATATTCATGTTGTATTTAAAAGTAATTCGATTTGTACTCGTTCTTCCAGGGGAAGTTATGCGCAATTGTTGGACCGGTGGGATGTGGAAAGGTAAATGAGTCCACATTTATTAAATATATTTTTACCTAAGGCTAAACTTGTATTTGTAAAACGATACCTGGCTTTTGATTATTCGGTTGCCTTTTGGGTAGGGGAATTCAAAATAGTTTCCATTTTCTCTGCTTTGGTTTTGCTCTGTTTTGGCAGTGATAAGCGTTAAATTTGATCTAGCAAGCCATCCAACTTAAGTGTACCCCCCCCTTTTAGTCTTGCAACATAAATGTCATTACGAATGGATGTCATCATCAACCAATATTCTAATGCCCCCATTGCTCGGAATGTTTGCAATTTTTTGTTTTTAACTCTGGTTTTTTCTTTGTTTCTAGTCTTCATTGCTAATGGCTGTTCTTGGTGAACTCCAAGCCAAAAACGGGACCGTTGATGTGAAAGGGAAGGTATCCTATGCTTCTCAAGAGCCATGGGTTTTTAATGGATCCCTGAAGTACAACATTACCTTTGGCCAAGAGTTTAACGAAGAGAAGTATCAAGAAGTACTCAGGGTCTGTGCTTTGGAACGTGTAAGTCATGTTAATCATTCTTGGTCGAATTTGAAATTGAAGGAAGCTTAAAGTGGGGGATTCTCCGATTTTCGGCAGGGACATGTCAAATTACTTCTGTAGCTCAGAAATGTTTTTGGATAATGTGGCATTAAATGTGTTATTTAATTTTGGAAATCGCTGAATAATGATTGAAACTTTTCGTATACAATCAGGCTGATAATTGCCCGGTTCGTTCCACCTTTTTTTCAATTAGGTACTAGTCAGGATCTGGCTGCAAATCGACAATATGTTGGTTTTCGAAGACTTTCATAGGTTTATTGTTTTTTTTATTGTTTTTATTGTTTCTGTTTTTCCTAGGATATTCAACTGTTACCTGAAGGTGACATGACCCTAGTTGGAGAGCGAGGGGTGTCATTGAGTGGTGGTCAACGAGCAAGAGTCAATCTGGCAAGGTATCTTTCATAAAAACTTTTGTTAGCAACAATCCTAGACACAGCTGTTAAGACAAACCCCCAAATACATCCCGAGTATAGCATGTATTCTTATTGAAACACCCTCTCCTCTATTCCAAGTTAGAGCGTCTAAATTTTGATATCAGGGATAACAAACAAAGGACATTATTGAGTAGGTGGGATTATGACAAATCTCAACAGTCAACACTGTCTGTCCAGGGATGTAGGGCCTTCAGTTTTTCACTGATCTTATTTGACACTACCCAGTATTCTGTAGCAAGCTTATCCTTCATTTAGCGCCCAAGGCGGTTATTAGAATTTTGCTAAGAAGCAATTGAAAAAGGCAATGGAATTCAACAACTGAATAGATTGGTAGCCCTTGTCAGGTAGGATTATCCATCACTGTTGAAGAAAATCGGGATCATGTAATTGACTGGAGAAACGAAACTAGGCGATAGGCTAGAGGTTACATAATATGTTCTTTTCTTCCTAAAGGTGTTTTCCAATTAGCTTGAGTTTCGAATAGTTGCGTTTGAAATGAATTTTGATATCAATCGCTGTTTTAACTTTCTAAAACATGTTTCTAACTCTGAGATAAATACTACTCTATAGAGCTCCTGATAAATTTCTGAAATTTTTATCAGCACCTGTACGTTTATTATAGGATAGACGGGGTTTTTTTTAGGGTACAATTTTCCAAGGGTCAGGATCTTCTGGCGAATATGTTAAGCCGGAAAAAAATTATTTGTTCCTGAGTCGGTCGAAATTGATAGGTCGTAATCATTGTAAGAGAATCTTCAATCCCATCCAAGATTCATAAAGCACATTCTAGCCATTTCATTTGACCTGAGTTGCTTATGTTCCATATTGGATATCTATAGAGAACGTGTCAGCGAAACCAATGGGAAATATATCCATTGCAAATGGTCGAGATTGCTATGCTCCGTTATTGTGTTTGTTGCCTAGTACAAAGTACGGTGACTTTCAGTAAGCGATGTTAAGTCTGTCTATCGTTAGTTATATTCTATTACAATATATTTAGATCACTTAAGTTTTGTTTCGGGGGATGACACCGAGCGGTTGTCTGAAGGTCATATGTCATAGGTGTGTTCACAAGTTAAATGGTTTTGCGCTGTTACAGACATCAAGTTGAAGCAAACACGCTTCCCGCTAACTCTTTATTGTCAAGTATATACGAGTACTTCTGGCTGGGTAACTGCCAAACGTAGGAAGCATGTTTTTGTGGGAACAGAGATAAAGCTGTCTATTTTCATTAAGATCTCTGTTAAGCAATATAATTAATGCAAATTTAAAAAAAATCCTTGAGAGGCTTTGATAATAGAGTAACCATGTTGTGCTTCGAAAGAACAGCTTTAGTTTTAACATATTTATTATCAACATATACAAACTGCCTCGTTATTTTTCTGTGCATTTTTGTAAAGTCCTTTCTTTATCTTAAGTTGTAAACAGTTCCCCGTCGATTGTATCTTTATCAAATGCCCGTCACTTATAAATCTGCTTTGCTTTTATTTCAGAGCTGTCTACAACGATGCGGATGTTTATATAATGGATGACCCCCTGAGTGCAGTAGATGCAAGTGTTGGAAGGCATCTATTTAACGAGTAAGAGAGCTGCTTTGACCTTCTTCTGTGTAATGCCACTCAGTGTGACAACATTCAATGTGACACCATTCAGAGTGCAACCATTTAGTGTGCCACCAGTCACTGTGCCACCATTCAGTGTGCCACCAGTCACTGTGCCACCATTCAGTGTGCCACCATTTATTGTGCCACCATTCAGTGTGCCACCATTTAGTGTGCCACCATTTAGTGTGCCACCATCCGATGAAACGTCATTCAATAGAGTAATATAGTGAGAGTGCATTTTCTTCAATCAATAAAAAGTAGTCAAAATATATCTAGATAGAAGAGATCATTTGTAGGGTACAAATAAGAAAGGGATTACTAAGAGAAGAAGTAAAGCATGTTTTAATATTTACGTATACTAAACTATTTCTCTACATGATCACTTTCTTTAATTGCTTTCTCTCATCGATTTCTCTCATTTTCTTTTTTTCTCTCCTTCGTTTAAGAAATCCTCTGTCAAAATTTGGTTTCTGTCCTTAACTGTAAAATTTCAGATCTAGAATAAGAACGTACCAAATTAATGTTCGTGTCGTCTTCTTGAAATTGGTAACAAAACGTATTCTAGTTACAATGGAAACCCTTTGAACCTACTGTATCCGTTACCAATAATGATTATGTTGATAGCACCCTAGCAATAAAAGTGCTTTGCAATTATATGCCATTGCTTTATTGTTAAACTGCTTTTTTGTTATACTTAGGTAGGCTAAGTATTAATTGGATAGTTATACATTCCTCTGATGTATAGTTGACTTGAAAATTTTGTATATTGCTTAGCTGCATCATGGAATATCTCGCCAAGAAACCCAGGATCCTGGTAACACACCAACTTCAATACCTCACTGATGCAGACCATATTATTGCTTTATCTGAGGTATTGGTATTTCTATCAGTATATCTTTATTATTCACTGATTTTTTACAGAATACCTTTGTTTCCTATTTGAGCTTTATAATTCTTGGATTTATGTTTGTAAATGCTCTCCACTAGGCAATACAATGCTGATTACCCATGACACAGCTTTATTGACCTAACATATTCTGCGTGGCTTTTTTTCCCTGTCTTTTAAAACAAACTTCAGAAGACCCATTTAAAGGGCTGCTTTTCCAATTAATGTTTCAGATTGCAAAATGAAAAGCAAGTTAGTTGATATAAAAATTCAGAAAATAACAGATTTTATTAGATAAACAAATTATTCGATGGATAAAGAAAATTTTAGAAAATGATAGTAGTTCCAAGCGAGCACAGAGTCTTCATGGTGTGTCTTTGTAATATCCCACCATCTGTATTCCATTAAACGAGTAGTTTTTATTTGCCTTTTATGAAAATTCTCCTCTTAAACAAGTGACTGATTTTCCAAATTCACCACTTTTTGACTTCAGTCGATCCCAGATTTTGATCAATGATTTAAAACTTGTGACTGAGTTTGAGGTTTAATTTATTTTTCTTTGTTGTTCCCTGGCGCTTTACAATTTTGGAAATTAAAAGGGCTTCGGATGCAAAAACTCTTCTACATCCTTACTTCATCGATCATTGTATAGACTTGTCAACTCTCTCTTTGTGTTACATCATGAACCGCGTAAATCAAAAGTCAAGATGAGATTCTTTGCACATTACTTTTGAAAACATTCCAAAACAAGATCTTTATTCAAAGTAATGGAACACTTGCTGTATTTTATGCATTCAACTGATTTTTTACTTTAAAAATAGTCACGATTGAAATATTTAAAGCAAATACAGGAATTCCCCTCAAAAGAGCCAATTTTTTCAAGATTCAGGCTGCTCATGAACCTTGCTTGGCAGGTGCTTATGGGAGTTGCAAGGTCAAAGGTAACTACCGTAAGGTATAAAGGCTCTTATTCAAAAGTTAGATGCTGATGACGGAGTGTATTGAGGGATGGTTGGCAATAGGGGCGTTTTGTGAGAATCGGAGGTTCAGGAGACAATGTGTTTTGAAAATCCTTATGATTAATCAGGCACATTAAGGATACTCAAAGGAAAACAGTTTGTCGTGCTTAAATATCTAATCTTCTTCTTTCCAAGGATTTCTCTATACTTATTTAGGCGTGCTTTGAAAGAATGTCCTTTATCACAAATTTTGTTAAAAACGTATAAATTTATGTTTTTTGTTTTTTTTCCAGGGAAAATGTATCGGCCAAGGCACATTTGCTGAGCTTGTTGACATGGGCATTGATTTTATGTCTCTGCTTGCGAACGAAGACGATGTCGATTCTGCCATCGAAAGTGATACAGAGCCTTCATTTGAAACGAGAAAGAGGCGATTCAGTCAGCAGCTAATGTGTGTTGGTGATGATTACAAGCCTCGTTCCAAAACATTGTTAAGACAAGAAAGCTTGTACGTTGAAGAAAACAGAATGCAGTCAGAGATAAGCATTTCAACTGAAACCCAGCAAGTGGAAGTCTACGTAAGTATTCTTCTGTTCTCAACCAATTCGACGGCTAATCAAACTTTTTGTAATTTAGTAGGAATTGAACGTTTTTAAAATGTCCACAGGAAGAAGATCATATTCCTGAAGAAAAGAAACTTGAAGGTGCTGTTGGACTTGAAACTTACAAAAGTTTTATAAAATCCGGTTATGGACCAACAGTATGGTTTATGGTTATAATGCTGTTTGCCGTTGCACAAGCCTTGTATCTTTGCGCTGATTGGTGGCTCTCATACTGGTAGGTAACCAATGAAAAGGCGCCTTCTAGCAGTCATTTCTTTGAAACTGATTTTTGTTTTAGTGTCATAAACTGTATTTCCTGTTCTACTGTCTTCAGTAGAAATGAAGTTACCAAACATGATGGTTTTTCAGAAAGCAATTGACGTCTGTTCATTATAGAGCCTTTTGAACTAGATGAAGATAAATAATTATTTTTCGTAGTAGTTTTTACATATATCCCGGACAAAAGTGGTTCAGTTTTTTGGAAATAGGCTGCAGAAGATTTCTTGAATTTACTATTTTCATAAATGTGTTCACATCAATTATTTACCTGTTAAACTTTCTAACTCATTAATCTCGATGTACATCTATCCACTTTTATCAGGTCAAATATTGAATCAAAATACTACTACACTCGAAACGAAGCAGACAAAAACCCAAACAGGACTCGTGACCTTGGCATTTATGCTGCCCTCGTTGCAGGACTGGTTATTCTCGGATTAACACGTGCTTTTGTGTTCTTTCGTGTCATTCTTGAGGCTTCTAAAAGTCTTCACGGAAAAATGTTCAATAGTATTATCAGGGCCCCGATCTACTTTTTTGACACCAATTCAATTGGTATGTATTTGCAGCTCATTCTTATATTAAGAGCTGTATTATTTCAATTGCATAATTTAGCAGTGACGATAGTTGACATGTTTTTGGAGAGATTTTTTGATAGTACATGAATTATCTTATCTATGACCATGACAACAAACCAAAACTCAAATTTTGGGATAGTTGGAGGGTCATGGTAGCCAACCTTCTGATAAAAGATGTTACCTGATGATGAATGAATCGTTATTGTTCTGAATATTTAAAAATTCAGAAAAATTTCAAGACATAGTTAAGCTTCCACATCTCCAGACATCTTCAAACATCTTCAGACATCTTCAAACATCTCCAGACATCTTCAAACGTCTCCAGACATCTTCAAACATCTTCAGACATCTTCAAACATCTTCAGACATCTTCAGACATCTGCATCATGTTAGCAGAATTATGGGTCACATTTATTCTGACATGTGTGGAATTATGTGTCCAAATTTTGAACCAAAGTGGCACGACCCCGTCCAAAACTAGGCTTAGCACTCTGTTGTCCGTCTGCACTCAACCCAGTCTGTTGTGCTAGATTCTTTTTGCTGAAACCTGTAATGCCAAATCCAAAAGTATGCTGCTTGATATACCTTTTTTCCAATGTCTCTTATATTCAATAACATTTTTTGACGAAAAACTCTGGTTTGTGACCTGTGATGTAGGCAGCAATTTCTTTGCTAATGAATCTCTGCCCACTTATTTTTCAGGTCGAATTTTGAATCGTTTTTCAAAGGACATGAGCTTGATCGATGACATGTTGTCCTTCCAGTGTTTTGATTTCTTGCAGGTAAATTCCATTGAAATTAGTGTTCCTCGGTATCAGAGCCAATGTTTCAAGACAATTTTTGCAACCTTTTTAACCTAAAAAGTAATAGATAGCATTTGCTTTTCGCAGACTGGTCTGGTGGTTCTTGGAATAGTCATCTTGGTCGCCGCCAACAACCCCATCGTATTTGCCATCGTTATCCCCCTGGTGTTTGCATTCTACTTCCTTCGAAGATACTACATCAAAACAGCTAGAGAAGTCAAGAGAATAGAAGGCTTGCGTAAGTTGATAGTATCTGATTCAAATTGACACCCTCAGGTCACTTAGGGCTGGCTTTTCAATAGAGCACACTAGTGTCCAATTTCCCCCCCCCAATGTCCAAAGTAGCAATCGAATTCCCCCTCCCCCCCTCCCCCATAGTTGGCGAGAGTTATCCTGTTATTTGGAATGTAGTCTACACCTAATGTTTGTATTATTTATTGAGCTAAGGGTTGTGAAGCTCTTCCTAATTAACCAGTTTAGAAAAGGTTCGTGGCTAGATTATCAGTTCTGGTCTAGCTAGATTATCAACTCAGAAAGATGCTTTTCACAATCTGCTTTCCCTTGCACAGAATTGGATTCCTTTGGAGCCAACTTTTGTACTATATACAAAGATTTGATATTTGTTTCATGAATGCCCCGAGCATTAGTAGTGTCAAGGTAGCTTGCCCCTTCGACGGTAAAAAAAGAAACTTGCGAATTTCTCGTTCACCTGAAAGTCCTTTTTGCAACTCCATGTTTGACAGACAATTTCTTTCGAGCTGTTTGCCCAAGGTTAGGGTTCTTGGCCTAACAACAGTTACCAAGGTTAGGGTCTTTGTGCTAATGTAAATGTTTCACTTCAGGATCAAGCTGGGCGCTGTTTTATATAATTGTAACAGATTTTGCATTCAAGCATAACCCTAATTATCAAAAAGAGTTTTGCCGAAAATACCATACACACAAAATAAATAATAGCAATGTATATATAATAATGAAATGGTGACGTCATTGTCTGAACCGATTGTATTTTGATATACCTGATAGTATAAGTAATTTCAAAAAGCATTTTGTTGGCTATTGAGTTGATATGATTTGATTAACAATCAAACTTTTTGTTTCAGTACGAAGTCCAATTTACGGTCACGTGTCTACAACGCTGTTGGGTCTTCCAACAATCCGTGCATTTGGAGTGCAATCAGTCTTTGTCGATATATTCTTTAAAGCTCAAGATGACCACACAAGGTCCTGGTTCGCGTTCTTGTCGTGTGCTAGTTGGCTAGGATTCCGATTGGAGCTGCTCTGCCTGTTGTTCATTGGTTTTGTGGCGTTCATATGCATTGCCGTTGCTGGATTTGGTATGACTTCTTTGCGATTTTCTATCTTCGTTTGACTGGCTACTGACAGCTAGTATCACCACTACAAAGACGTTTTATGAAGTTTTAGAACCATCCTTAAAGACTCATTGCTAACAATGGGCCTTTGCGAGCGTGGCAACGATCCAAACAATGGCAGTAAACTGTCTTCAATGGCAGTAAAGTGATTTCAGACTGTCTAAAAATGCATTATGTGATGCTTGCGTAGCGCAATGGCTCATTGTTAGCAATGAGTCTTTAATAAATAATGGAAATAAGGCATTACATGGGTGTGACATGGGCGTGGTGGCTGAAATTCTTTTGTTTTCAACTATCCTTTCTAACGGTCAAGTGTTCGTCGTTTTTCTGTACTATTGGGCGTAAGCTAACAGTAGCAATCCATATGTGAAAATCAAAGATACTTTGCTCGAATTTTTATCTTCCGCTCTCTCAAGTGCGACTCTAGGATTATTGATCCTCGTAAGTTTTCTTCTCTGCGACTTAGTTTTTCATTAACCTACTTTTTTATGAATGTCTATCTGACTTCATATTGTTGTCTGACTTTATTACAAATAACCTGAGTTTAAAGATAACTGCAGGGTAGAGCTCAAGTGTTAATCCCCCCTTCTTGCTAAGTATTAATTAGTATTTGTAGTAATACATACCATTAAGTATTATTAATCTAAACAGTAACACGTTAATTCTTTTGCCTCAAATAGTGCCCGGGCTGTCGGGTGGAGCTGTTGGTTTGATTTTGGCTTACACGCTGAACGTCTCTGGTGTATTCCAACAGTGCGTCAGGCAAAGTACCGAAGTCGAGAATCAGGTTATTACTGTTTAATTACTGCTTTCGTTCATATTTTTAGTACAGACTGTTCCTTTTAGTATCTATAAGTATTTTCACCCCTATTATTATCACCATCACCATCTACTTGTATCTTCACCAATTATTTTTCTTGATTTTTCTTGCTTTACATTTTTTTTACTTTAATTTGATATACTTAAATATGCTATACTTTACTTTTGAAGCATCCTGTTTTAGGTCTTAACTTATTGTATAATACTTAGGCTCTGTAGAATGTTTTATGATACTTCTTAGTTTATTATGCTAAATAAGTTAAAGTGGCTTTAGCTTTTTTGTCAACGGAATTAAATTTTTGATAGCACATGGTAAATACAGCATTCAGCGAGTGAAGAAGCAAGTAGTCATTATTTGATCGAATTGCTATCTGCTCTGATTAGGTTATGTATAAAACAAATTTGTTTATCAGCTTGCAACATCCTTATAGACTTTTTCTATAAAAAGCAAGCCTGGTGCATGGTTGTAAAATTTCTTGTCAACGTAAATTAGATCCCTGTAACTTTAAATGGTTTTAGATGACATTTCGGGTCTATATGTAAAGTACAAGTACTGAACTCGCTTTATTTTCGTTGGTAGATGACTTCTGTAGAAAGGGTCCTTGAGTATTGTGAGATCGAATCAGAGGCACCGCCTGTTACAGAAAAGAGGCCACCGGACAACTGGCCAGAGAATGGCTCGATCAGTTTCAAAAATATGAGCCTGAGATACGCACCCCATCTCAAAGACGTTCTTCATCGCATATCTTGCAAGGTGCGACCTAGGGAAAAGGTAAGTCTTACGATCTCAGTGATTTCAAGGGTTTGCACTAATTAGGTACCTTTAAGGAGGAACGGTAATAATGACTGGTGTCGGCAACGTTTTGTATTTTCATCAACATAACTTGTTTTATCCTCATTTATGTATTCAGTTTGATTCATTTTATAAAGTAGTTTATGTAGTATCTTTTTCTGTCAGCTACAACAAGCTTTAAGCTAAATTTTTAATCAAGAAAACGGCATGTAAACACTTTTTAAGTAATTGTTCACAGATAACTCATACTTTGGCTTAGTTCAAAAAGTTTAGAAGAGAGACCAAATTAAAGTGAATTGATAGCGAAACTGTGTTATGTGGCCATATCTCAGCCAATTTCAGTCAAATGTATTTTATTTTGCTCATTTAGAAGTATCTTATGGTGCTCTTCCAGGTTATTAGATCGAATTTAAGAAATTCTAAACAAAGATTTTCATGACATCATCACTTGAGATACCTATAAGCTATAGCTCGTGACTGCTTGTATTGCAATGATTCCTTACCTTTTCTGTTACGTCATAATCAGGTTGGAGTATGTGGCAGAACGGGTGCTGGGAAATCTTCGCTTTTGTCAACGCTGTTTAGAACTGCAGAACCATCGGGTGAAATAAAGATTGATAACGTCAACATTTCTGAGCTTGGTTTGAAAGATCTGAGGAGTAAGATATCAATAATTCCACAGGTATATAGTTTCATTTTTAATAATTTTCGTGACGAAATATACAAGGAACTCTAATCAAAGAGGGGAAGTAGAACGTTTGGAGTCCAAATCGTGAATGCTTTGACGGTTTGAGAAATAATGGTAGAGTAGCGTGGTAGCGTCAGGTGTTATTAACCTGTTTTGAATCGGCCAAGGGATAGAAATTAGAATTTTCTACACAAATACAAGATAATTTTTATATCTAGGTTCGGAGATTTCTGTCTGCTTCGCTTCCCTCCCCTATGGCACCTGCGAGTAAATATCTTGGTTTCCGCATTTTGCAGCGATCAATTCAGATTCACAAAAATAGATCATAACAAATATATGAACTAATTTTCCCCCTATAAATAGACTTTGATCGTGCCAGTCTAGGAGCACAGTATGAGGTATGGAATGCAAAATGGGGTAGCTGTCAAACTTTTTTGTGCATTTTTATTTAAATCACACACGTTTCTGATCTTTTTTCAAGGTTTTCACAAGACTTTAATACACACGAGTTGTTGAACTTAGCCTGCTGATTTTTTAGATTTATTTTGGTTGGCGCTTTTGCGTTTTTAGAAATTGTGTTATATGCATTTGTTTCAATTTTTTCTGCTCCAGGACCCTATTTTGTTTAGTGGAACCATGAGAAAGAATCTTGATCCGTTTGACAGTTACCAAGATGCTGATTTATGGAGAGCTTTAGAGGAGGTAAAAATTTAAAACAAAATCAAAGATTTTTTTATATCTTCGCTTGCATTTCTCTTTTTTAATATCCTTGCTTTGAAGTTGAAAAACCTGTGAATGTTTGATTGGTCTTGACAACGAAGTTCTGTAATCAAAGTTGACGTTTTTAAAGATTATCAATGTGCAATAGTAGAAATAGCGGTGGAAATAGTGTGTGCTGATGTATGGGTAGATGGAGAGGCAAGTGGTGGCCTTACAATGTGTCTTTGAGTCAATTATCAATTCTATAGCCCAGAATGCTATGCGGTATGCATTGGTTGTGTTCTCTACTGGACTTGCTAAGTGTTCACATGATCACTTAGTTATGCTGCCAGGCATTGGGGCTCAATGAAAACAGCGCTGTAATTCATTAATTCAGTTGTTCCTGACAACATGCAATCAAATTACTTTTATTTTTGCAGGTCCAACTGAAAGAAACTGTCGCGGCATTGCCAGGAATGCTAGACAGTGAAATGGCCGAATCCGGACACAATCTCAGTGTCGGACAGCGTCAACTCGTTTGTTTGGCAAGAGCTATTCTAAGGAGGAACAGAATTCTTGTTATTGATGAAGCAACTGCAAATGTTGACCCGAAGTAAGCCTCTTGGTTAATTTCTCGTTTATATTTCTTATTTCGTATCCTCTGGAAGTACTTTGTTTATTATTTATTTTGAGCTTCTTTAACGAAACAGAATAAAATTTTCAAAAACAGGGCCCCGAAATCAATGAACAGCCAATATCTTCCCAAATTTTATTATATTTGTCCCGAATCCCCCGCTGAACTTCTTGTAAAAGCAACCTCCAAGTAGTGGAGAACTCATTTCTACAACGAAAATTAATTTGTGAAAAGGCCTGTGTAGATTTTGTATATAGGCCAGACTTCCTTCTCTTTATTTGCCTGGCAAATTCTTCCTTAGTTTTTCCAGATTTATTGCCAAATACAATTTAACTCGAACATCTAAGGAAGTGATGAGAATAGTTCGAATTAACTAGTGTTCAAGTTTATCAGGTATTCGAACTTATTAGAGAAATTTAACGAGGAATGGGAAAGTCTTTCTAGTTTCTGAAAGTTCAAGATGTAGGGAGCTCCAGTTATCGGGGGATCCAGTTATCCAAATTTAACTGTATTTTCAAAGGTAAATCTTTTCCTGTGATGTAAGGCAGTCGTTTTTATATCTTAATTTTGTGTGAATTCTGTATCTTAATAACATTTTACTCTCAGGACGGATGCGCTTATTCAGGAAACAATCCGTGAAAGATTCAAAGACTGCACTGTACTGACGATTGCTCACCGCCTCCATACCATCATGGACTCTGACAGAATCATGGTATGTTCCCCTCTGTTTCCCTCATTCAATCGTGTGTTATTGCTATATTGTCGTGTATAATTACTTTGAATTTAAATTTGTTTCAATCCTTGCCAAAACTGTTGGAACACTTGAGCAAAGCTAAAGCTTTTTTCGAAACCCCCCATCCCCCCCTACCCCCCATTACAATGTTGTTCAGTTTGGCTGTTTTGATGGTAAAGGTAAATCTCTTTCACTGAAAGCTGTATGAAGGCATTGAGAAAATAAGTCAACATTGTACGGGGGAGGGAGTCGGAATTTTGGAAGCGGAAGTGATATTTTGATGAGGTAGTTTTAGACTTGCTTTGCTAATTTGCATGCGGCAATGGGAAGGCGTTCCAGCTATTTTTGGCAAGGCTTGCTGATTCACTTTCCTTTCCCTTTCAAGGTACTAGATGCAGGGCAACTCAAGGAATTCAGTGAAGCCTACAACCTCCTTCGGTGTCGTAACTCGCTGCTTTACCAGCTTGTCGCTCAAACTGGTTCTTCAGAAGCCCAGAAGCTATTTGACATTGCCAGGAAGAAGTACCTAGAAAGGCATCCGAACAAGGCAGCGTCAGTATCAGACAACCCAGAGGAAGAGATGGGTGCTCTTGAAAACTTGGAGCCGGATGAACCAGACGAAGGCGTCGATGTATCAGTGTCAGAGGAAGAACAAAAGTCTGAAGAGGGTCAGGGGAGTGCTACAAAGATAAAAGAAGATGAAAAGAAACAATCTTCAGAAGGAGAGGCGAAGGAAGAACCAAATGATGACGAGAAGACCAAGCTACTGGTTGAGTTCAAGCCCGAAGGCGATAGTTCTAATTCGAAGGATGATCAAGCATAGTTTTTAAGTTTGAGTCGTTTTCGCGTCGTATAGAGCTTTTTATATATTTATATATACCTTTTTAAGCACATATATATAATATATAGAGTCATTCAGATTCGGTGTCTGTTTCTTTTATCACGTAGGTAGTTGAACGATATAGTGTTAGCAATCTCATCGCCACGAGAGTTCGTTTTTTGTTTTGTTTTTGTGTCGTATGTTTACAGGATAAAGTATGTTTCTTGAATGGGAAGTTGTTTTCTTACTTATTTTGTGAGCCATTTGTAAGTTGAAGTCATTTTGATTGAGGGAAAATCATATAACCCGGTTTTTTGCCTGTGGTAATATTAACTTTGTGTGTCATTCGATAAGGCTTTAGATAGGCACAAAGAGATCATTAATACCAAAGCTAGGACTCTATTGACGATTGTCACTTACAAAATGTCTATGTTCCATCCAAGATTCCATGAAAATCTCAAGCTCTAATTCCAGTCCGTATTCACTGGCTTATTTTGGACTTTCCCCATTACCAATTTGACGTTTTTTGTTGCGATATTGTTCCCTGATTTCAAGACAATAGTAACAACTGTCTTTGTTCCCATGCTTGTATTCGTTTTGCGATTTCGTTTTTGTATGCTTTTTTGCTGCATAGGCTAGATATATTTCTATGCATTTAACATTTCATATCTTTAGTGTAGTTAGTCGAATATAACAAATTGGGGACAGTCTTTCCAGTATTTTAGATGATTTATCACCTTGCAGGTATTCTAAATATTTTTAGCAAAATATCACTGATTTTAATTGAACATATTTTTAAGGTATTTTGATTAGCAATGAGAAAATATTTTTGTTTTCATAGAATTTTAGAACCTGCAGAGTTTGATTTATGTGATTCAACGATCCCTCAATTAAGATTTTTGTAAGGAAGATTAAGGTTTTTTAAATCCGGTTCTTGACAAGGGAAATAATATCAGCCATTGCACATAATGGTTGGTTGATTGTGCGCAATGACAAGTTGTCAGTTTCTTTTAGGAAAACTCCTATATAAGAAGCTAATTCCATTAGAGAAGAGGCACGTACATGGATGGGGTATCTCCCATTTTGTAACACAATCAGAGAAGAGATAATAAAACATCTTGTATTCCAAAAACTTTGTTTCACTGTGGCTATTTTTGAAATAGAATTTGTCCTTAAAATAGGTTTTGATTTCATTTGCCGGTTATTAATGATACAAAATAGAGTGTTAAGGAGACAAAACATTCTTTTTTTGGAAAAATGCAGCCTTTCATTCCACTTCAATTTGCTATTTTCCTAATGGATGAAAGTTACGAAAAGTTACTTTAAATAATGAAATGTTATGAGCTCCTTTTTACATGTTACAAAAACCAAAGAACTTGTACAAATATGCTGAACTGTAAAGCAACACATTACTAAGAAGAGCAAATGTTTTGAATAAACTACATATAACAGCTTAAAAATCAAACTAATGAAAATTACTATTTAATGGTTTGTCGTAAATTGCGTCGTAAAGACAGCTATATACACGAAATCAAACTTAGTG